GTACTAAGAGGGACATTTATAGCAATACAGGCCTACTATTATAATGTTCTACACCTGAAACATACATAATATTAGAAACCAATATTACTTAAATAAAAAAAAGGAAAGAAACTAGAAGAATCTCAAATAAACAAACCTAACTTTACACCTCTAGAAACTAGAAAAAGAAGAACAAATTAAGTCTAAAGTTAGCAGAAGGAAGGAAATAATAAATATCAGAGCAGAAATAAATGAAATAGAGACCAGAAAACAATAGACAGGATCAATAAAACTAAGAACTGGTTTTCTGAAAAGATAACAAAATTGACAAACCTTTAGCTAGAATAAGTAAGAAAAAAAGAGAAAAGATTCAAATAAATAAAACTAGAAATGAAAGAGCAGACATTACAACTGATACTACATAAATACATACAATCATAAGAGACCACTATGAACAACTATGTGCCAACAAATTAGATAACCTAGAAGAAATAAAAACATTCCTGGATACATACAACCTTCCAAGACTGAATCAGGAGAAATAGAAAATCTGAACAGACCAATAAAAAGTAAAGAGATTTAATCAATAATCAAAACTTCCCAAGGCCAGCCCAGTGGTGTAGTAGTTAAGTTCGTGTGCTCCACTTCACCAGCCCAGCGTTTGCAGGTTCAGATCCCAGGAGCAGACCTATGCACCGCCTATCAAGCCATGCTGTGGCAGGTGTCCTACATAAAGTAGAGGAAGATGGGCATGGATGTTAGCCCAGGGCCAATCTTCCTCAGCAAACAGAGGGAGATTGGCAGCAGATGTTAGCTCAAGGCTAATCTTCCTCACAAAAAGGAAAAAAAAAAAACTTCCCAACACAGAAAACCCCAGGACCAGACAGCTTCAGGGGTAAACTCTACCAAACATTTAGAATTAATGCCAATCCCTCACAAACTCTTCCAAAAAATTGAAGAGGAGGGAACACTTCAAAATTCATTCTATGAGGCTAGTATTACCCTGTTAACTAAGACAAAGACACTACAAGAAAAGAAAACTGTAGATCAAGCTCTCTGATGAACATAGATGCAAAAATTTTAAACAAAATATTAATAAACAAAATTCAAGAACACATTAAAATGATTATAAACCATGACCAAGTGGGATTTATCTCTGGGATGCAAGCCTGGTTCAAAATATGTACATCAATTAATACATCACTTTACTATAAAGAAAGATAAAAATCATATGATCATCTCAATAGATGCAGAAAAACACAACCTTGACAAAACACAACCTTCTTTTTTTTTTTTTTTGTGAGGAAGATCAGCCCTGAGCTAACATCCATGCTAATCCCCCTCTTTTTGCTGAGGAAGACGGGCTCTGACCTAACATCTATTGCCAATCCTCCTCCTTTTTCCCCCCCCCCAACGCCCCAGTAGATAGTTGTATGTCATAGTTACACATCCTTCTAGTTGCTGTATGTGGGACACGGCCTCAGCATGGCAGGAGAAGTGGTGCATCGGTGCGCGCCCGGGATCCGAACCCGGGCCACCAGTAGCGGAGCACACGCCCTTAACCACTAAGCCACGGGGCCGGCCCAACACAACCTTCTTTCATGATAAAAACTCTGGACAACTACTGGGTATTTATCCAAAGAATATGAAATCAACAATCCAAAAGGATTTATGCACCCCTATGTTCATCACAGCCTTATTCACAATAGCCAAGATGTGGATGCAACCCAAGTGCCCATCAATGGATGAATGGGTAAAGAAGATGTGGTATATATACACAACGGAATACTGCTCATCCATAAAAGAAGACAAAACCATGCCATTTGCAACAACATGGATGGACCTTGAGGGTATTATGCTAAGCAAAATAAGTCAGACAGAGAAAGACAAATACCATGTGATGTCACTCATATGTGGAAGATAAACACATAGATAAGGAGAACAGATTAGTGGTTAACAGAGTAAAAAGGGGTGGAGGAAGGCAAAAGGGATAAAGGGGCACATGTGTATGGTGATGGATAACAACTAGACAATTAGTGGTGAACACGATACAATCTATACAGAAACTGAAATATAATAATGTACATCTGAAATTTACATAATGTTAAAAGCCAATATGACCTCAATAAAGCAAAAAAAAATTTTTTTTAATGCTACATGTTGAATGAATAAAAAAAATCCCTGGACAGATTGAGTATACAAGAAATATACTGCAACGTAATAAAGGCCATTTATGACAAATCCACAGCTAAGACTATCCTCAAAAGAGAAAAATTGGAAGCTTTTCCTTTAAGATCAAAAATAAGACAAAGAGGCCCTCTCTCACCACTCTTATTCAATATAGTACTGGAAGTCCTGGCTAGAGCAATTAGATGAGACAAAGAAATAAAAGGTATCTAAAATGGAAAGAAAGAAGAAAATTGTCACTATTTGCAGATGATAGGATTTTGTATGTAGAAAATCCCAAAGACTCAACCAAAAAGCTGTTGGAACTAATCAACGATTTCAGTAAAGTTGCAGGATACAAAATCAACATACAGAAATCAATTGCATTTCTATACATGAATAATGAAATATCTGAAAAAGAAATTTAAAAAAAACTGTCCCATTCACAGTAGCATCAAAAACAATAAAATACCTAGGAATAAATATAATGAAAGAAGTAAAAGATCTGTACAATGAAAGCTACAAGACTTTGCTGAAAGAAATCGAAGACACAAACAAATGGAAAGACATCCTGTGTTCAAACATCTGAAAAATTAATATTGTTAAAATGTCCATACTACCCCAAGCTGTCTATAGATTCAATGCAATCCCCATTAAAACACCAGTGGCAGTTCACAGAAATAGAAAAACCAGCCCTAACATTTGTATGGAACCACAAAAGACACTGAATATCCAAAGCAATCCTGAGGAAAAAGAACAAAGCCAGAGGTATCACACTTCCTGATTTCAAACTATACTACAAAGCTATAAAGTAATAAAAATAGTATGGTCCTGGCATAAAAATAGACACACAGACCAATGGAACAGACTATAGAGCCCAGAATTAAACTTCCACATATGTGGTCAACTTATATTCAACAAGGGAGCCAAGAACACCCAATGGGAAAGGGATAGTCTCTTCAACAAATGGTGCTAGGAAAACTGGGTAAACACATGCAGAAAAATGAAATTGAACTCCTATCTTACATGACTCACAAAAATTAACTTGAAATAGATCAAAGATGGGCCAGCCCCGCAGCTTAGCGGTTAAGTGCACACGCACCGCTGCTGGCGGCCCAGGTTTGGATCCCGGATGCGCACCGAGGCATCACTTCTCTGGCCGTGCTGAGGCCGTGTCCCACATACAGCAACTAGAAGGATGTGCAACCATGACATACAACCATCTACTGGGGCTTTGGGGGAAAAATAAATGAATAAATAAATAAATAATTAAAAAAAAAAAAGAAATAGATCAAAGATTTAAACATAAGACCTTATATCACAAAACTCCTAGAAGAAAACCTGGAGAAGAATCTCCTCAACATTGGCCTTGGCATTAATTTTCTGGATATGACACCAAAAGCACAAACAACAAAAGTGAAAATCAACAAATGGGACTACATCAAACTTAAAAGCTTCCGAACAGCAAAAGAAACAATTAACAAAATAAAAAGTCAATGTATGGAATGAGAGAAATTTTTTGCAAACCATATGTCAGAGGTTAATATCCAAAATATATAACGAACACATACAACTCAATAACAACAAACAAAAAACATGATTAAAAATTGGGCAGAGGAACTGAATAGATGTTTTTCCAAAGAAGACATCCTAATGGCCACCAGGTACATGAAAGGGTGCCCTACAGCACTAATCATCAGGGAAATGCAAATCAAAACCGCAGAGATATCACCTCATACCTGTTAGAATGACTATCATCAAGAACACAAGTGATAACAAGTGTTGGTGAGAATGTGGAGAAAAGGAACACTTGTGCACTGTTGGTGGGAATACAAATTGGTTCAGTCACTATGGAAAACAGTATGGGGGTTCCTCAAAAAATTAAAATAGCATATGATCCAGCAATTTCTCTTCTGGGTATATACCCCAAGGAAATGAAAACAGAATATGAAAGAGATACATGCACTCTCATGTTTATTGCAGCATTATTCACAATAGCCAAGATATGGAAACAACCTTTGTGCCCACATCAATGGATGAATGTATAAAGAAGATGTGATAGATAGATATACACACACACACACACACACACACACACACACACACACACCGTGGAATATTATTTAGCCATGAGAAAGGAAAATATTCTGCCATTTGCAACAACATAGTTGGGCTTTGAGCATATTAATCAAAGTGAATAAATCAGACAGAGGGAGACAATTACTGTATGATATCATTTATATGTGGAATCTACAAAAGTCAAACTCATAAAAACAGAAAATAAAATGGTAGTTACCAGAGCATTAGAGGTGGGGGGATAGGACAGATGTTGTTTAAGAGTACAACAGGTAGGGTACAATATGACCTGTTATTTGCAACAGGTAGTAAATAATCCCTGAGATATAATGCACAATATAGTGAATATAGACAATAATATTGTATTACAATCATCAAACTTGCTAAGAGACTAGAACTCAATGACTCCAACCAGTACAAAGAAAGGATCATTATGTAATGTATACATAATAATATGTATGTATTATGTATAGAGGTGCTAATTATTGCTATAATGACAATCAAATTACAATATATAAATGTATCAAATTAACATGTTGTACACCTTAAATTTGCATATGTCAAATATATTTCAATTAAAAAAAATAAAGTAACTAATCACAAGGTCTTTCTAAACTACAGCAGGCCAAGAGAAGAGGGAAGGGAGATGGACATTCTCCACATTTAAATAAATAGAACTTAGTTGTTCTGACACAGATTCTATCCAGTGTAGAAGCTAGGGGATTGGGGAAGAAGAGAAAGCCCATACCTACTGATGTGTTTGTCTTTACCTCTTTCAGTGGACAGTTCTGGAAAAATCAGTAAGTTTGGATCATTTCTTTGCCTTACTTATTTCTGTGTCTATGACCTTTGAGCTTTTGTTACCAAATTTTTTTGTATTCCAAGTTCTTCTACCTTAGAGTAGTCAATATTTCTTAAATAAGTAATTTTCTCATATTTTTATTCCCTTTTATTTATTTTCCTTTTTAACAAAATATAATGGTCTTGTATTTTATTCTGGTTATTTACTACCAAGGATTATCGGTAGCATATATTCCGAGCTAGTCTATCACAAGGGAGCCTGTTTTCCTTTGTTTGAATTTCAGTAGAATAGATATTACTTACCCAAGGATTCAATCCTGTACACTAGCTAAATGGCATCCCAAAGATAACCTTCCCTGTGGAGCAGGATATGGAGCTTTGGCTAGCAGCACTCATAAGGGGAAAACAGACGATCTTATAACTCCGTGGAGGTCCTGTTTCTGCATTCACCTACAAAGGGTATCATTGGGAGTTGGTTTCTCCTTGAGTTAGAAAATTCCCACTAATCTTCCTTTTGTGTTTTATTTTTAGCACTATCTCCTATGGGTAAGTTCCTTAAGTATTTTCAACTCTGATATTTTACATTGTTTATAGTTATATTCTGACCTGGCTGTTTCTATTCCCAAAATAGGGACTTGTGGTTCTAAGGTCATTTTAAATGTCCCTATTCTCTAGATTCTTCCAATATTTTAAGTAACTGTTTTTAGAGAAATTGTTGTAGAGGAGATGAAGTTCATACAAATGGATGCCATAATCTCTGGCCATCTTCTAGGCTCAGAAAAAGAATCTCCTCACTGACTCCCAGCAAAATATAATAAGAGAAAGATTGGTTTCTGAATTTCATTAGTTCTTTGCTGGTTATTTACAACTTGTCTTTAGCCATAAGTGAGGCCCACTAAATCATATTAATATAAAAAAAAAACTAGTTAAGAACAAAGTCTTACCTACTTTTTTTGCCTTCCAAATAAGTTTACCTTTGAGGGAGACAATATACTGTGCATTGTGCTGGGCATTTTCAAAAAACATATCTCTTCTTATTACCTGGTAGCTATTATTATCCCCCACTTTATAGATCAGGAAACTGGCTCAGACGTTTGCCCAGAGTTAAAGAGTTGGTAAACAGCAGTGTCAGGATCTAAACCCAGGACTTCCTGTTTCCGAAGTACATGCTTTTTCCACACCAACACATTGCCTCCTATATACCAAACCACAAATGCCTTTTTGGTGACTAGTCCTCAATATTTATCTGTAAATCAAATGTTTGTAAATACAAATATACACCTACTAGAGAAGCTGTATAATTAAACGTACATAAAAGAATCCTTTTAAAAATAGAAGACATCCCATTTAAATCGATGTTTGGCATTTGACTGTTTTCTAAATTCAGATTTCTTTATATCAGGATTATTTAATGTATGGCTTAGCTCTTCAAGGAAATCATACAAAACAAAATAGAAAAATAATTTTTTAAACTCTGTAAACATATAGTTATAAGAAGCAAGTAAGACTAAAATGTGAGATACATTTCAAGCATCTCAAACATTCTAAATACTAACAAACACAAAATATGTCTTTTAATCATGTTTAAGCTTCACTCTTCTTTCTCAGTTCACACTAAAAGGAGGATGGGTTTGTAAGCGGCAGGGGGAGGAGGTGAAGTTGAAAGGGACAATTATTTTCCTTTGATTCACAGTACAAGAAACAATATGCATTCAGAGCAATCGTGGTGTGTCTGCATCACTCAAATGTCCTCCCCACGTGGGGAAGGTGGTAAGACTGTGTGTGTTTTCCTTACAAAAACAATAAGGGCCATGAGAAGGGATTCCAGGCCAAGTCCCTTCCTGGAAGTAAATTAGTTTTTAATGAATATACTTTTCTAAACTGCCAAAAAAAATCAGTTTAATCTTTTAAAATGTTTTCTTGTAAAAGATATATTCTTATTGACAGTATTTCAAACATATTCCTCTCAGTTGATATTTTTAATAGAAGGAGGTTAAGGTTTAATTCATTGTTCAAAGAAAGATTTAAGACACATCAGCCCATCAACCTTCATCATCCTCAAGTTGAGTCTCTTATTTTCTTACCTCCACATTCAGCTAATAAATATATGATCTTTTAAAATGTAAATTCATGGCCTAAGAACTATAATGATTCATCTTTCTAATGCTTAGCAGATCTTTTAGAGTCTAGATCTGATTGTGCTCTCCCTGACAGCCACTGCATTAAGAGGCTAATAAGATTAGTTTCCTAATAAAGCCCATGGTCTATTTTCTACGTTATTTTAAGTATCATATAATTAGAATTATTAATGTGATAGTTATTTCATGATGTCTTTCAGCTTTAACAAAAATTAATCCAATTTAAAATTTTTAATCAGCCTGAATATGTTACAAGGATCACCAAGGTCTTGATTAAATCTTTCAATTGTATTAGAATTTTGTTGTATAGGCTACTACCTGCAATAAATGGACTTTCAGCCAGGGCTTACACATCTTTATATTATGGAGATTATGATGTCCAAGAGAAAGAAAAGATTTATGCACTATCTAGAAATCTCAGAGAAGGGAGAGGAGAACTTGGAATTTGGTGGAATAATGATTTGTGGCTTACTTCTGCAACGCAAAATTGAAATAAAAGTGAATCTCACTTTACGGATAGCTAGGTTCCTGAAAAATAAATCCTAGCAAATCTACTTTAATTAAGTTCAAGATAGAAAATATATATCAAAGATTAATAAAATAAATAATCGAGAGTATGAAGACACTATTACAAGTGACTAGAGGTATTTTTCAGTGTAGTGAGAAAAAAGAATAAAGTTCTTTAAAATCTACAAATTTGGGAAAGTGTAGCTAGAATAAACACTGTTTCATTAAATCCTAGAATACTTAATTTTGATTAACAAAATCTATACCATTTAGGTGGTAAATTTAGGTTAAAAATGAGTCATGCACTAGTATATACAGTAGTAAACATGAAACAAATTACCCCCAAGAGATGATAAAACTAAAAATATTCATATATTAACAAAAATCAGCTTGTTTAGGGGTATATTTTGTAGAATTCATAAGGTTAGAAGCTTTAGTGGAAAAACAACTCTTCTCCACACCACATCATACTCCCAAACAAAATAAGTGTCCACTGGTAGTACTGTCAGATATCAAAATATTCTGGACTGTCTTTCTCAACACAGAAATGCTTGGGATATATTACCACAGGTTTTCATTGGAAAATTGGAAATGGGTTTGTCTAGAATAAAATTTCAGTACCCATATGTTTTTGAAGAAGTGCTAGGGAGGAAAATACACAAAAGGGTTCAGAAAGTATTACTGCAAGGTTCGTAATGTTATTTTTATTTTGGTGTCAAAAGTTTAAAATACCAAAGAGAAAACACCAGAAAACACTAAACTATAACATCCCTTTGATTTATAGTTACTTTCTTACCTAATATAGGTGTGTTTCACTTTTTACAACTGGTAAAATTCAGTTACGTGTATGTCAGTTTTTCAAACATCAAACTCTATAATATACCAAAAAGCTTTCTAGGTAGAAAAAAAGTTGAATAATTAATTTTTAAGCAAGAAATCTTCCCATAATGCAATTAACCATTGCTCTAAATTATTTAGTTGGAACTAAGAGTGCCTTGTCTTGATAGATCAGAGAGAGTTTTGCCTGAACTATCTCATTTGGTAGTAGTAATAGCGAATATCTATTTAGTACTTACTATGTTCCATACACTGTACTGAGTGCTTTACATAGATAACATTATTTAATCCTCATGGCACTTCTGTGAAGGAGCTACTACTATAGCTCCCATTTTATAGATAAGAAAGTGAAGTTTGTCCAAGGTCACCCAACTAGTTAGGTGTGCAGCCAGAATTTGAACTAGTCTGACTCTAAAGGCCATACTTTTTAACATTTGTCTAGAATCCTTAAACAACTACAAAGTGGGTAGAGCAAACTAAATATGAGGAAAGTGAGTCCTTGGGGATTAATTGATTTACCCAAATAAACCCAGGTAGCAGGGATACTAAACTCAGTTGTTCTGATTCAGCTTTTAAATTCAATACTCTTTCTACTACATTAAATGTTAAATATTAGGTTTTCTCAAAGCAAAGCATGCCTCTGCTCCGTAGCAAGAACTCACACAATTGTTCTTGGCAGCATAGAGATTGTTTTTTCTTAATTCAGGGAACTGGGTCACTAAAAAAAATAGCAGAAGCTAACAAATTCAAGTTTATTAGATCATACAGAAATTGAGACACAGCAGAGCTGATTTACCTACACATGATAAAAAGGGACCCGAAATTTTTGCAAAGTGAGTTAGCAGATATTGCAAGAAGCAGTCTAGGGTATTGAATTCTAAAGTCTGACTACGCAGGTGCAAATCCCAGCTCCACCACCTACCAATTCCGTGGCCATATTCACATTCATGTAAACTTTCTGTACCTCAGTTTATTCATCTGTAAAATGGGGATAATAATAGTACCTACCCTATATGGTTGTTGTGAGGATTAAATGAATTAATATATGTAAAGTGCTCAGAACAGTGAGTGCCTGGTGTATGGTAAGCATTCAACAATTATCAGCTAGTAATATTATTACATTTGCATAATGATATATGCTTTTATTCAATATAGAAAGCATATTTTGAGTTTCCTTTTTCTATTTTAAGAACAATTTTTGCTTCTTTCCACAACTTTTTCTAAAAATAAATTCCCTTTTCAGAATACATTCTCCTTTAGCTATTAAGCCTTATTCATTAGCCATAATATACTTAACAAATGCCAGTTCGTTTATAATACATTTTATTTTTCTTTCCTTAATCTTCCAATTTATTCAAAAGAGTCTGAAATGTTATTAATACCTATATAATTTTATATGTAGAGTTCCACCATTTTATATTTTCAGGAAAATCTCAAGTTATCTCCCATTTGTCAGTTTTCACAGAAAAAAAAAGAGAGACCAATATCATGAAAAAAAGTAGAAATAAAGAGAAAGTACTTTACATCTGAATCACGCACTTTTGTTGTGTGCTCAGTTATATTTCCAGGTTACATGGATGGAGAACTTACCAAAATATCAGATTCCAAAGGCCAGATTCTGAAAAGTAAAGGTACTACAAAGTCTCAGAGTAGCCAAGAAGAAAATAAAGAAGCAATAAAGAGGGAAATCTTATTCACAGCTTCTGATGAATCCATGACATCAACCTACAAAATGGAGTCAAAAAGCAAAGCAAAAGGTATTGAATTGGAGAAAGGCAAGATAGGAATGAAAGTCAAGGTAAAGGATAGTGACACTGGGATAATAAAAAGACTGGAAGCCCAAGTAAAGCCGAGTGACACAGGAATACCAAAAAGACAAGAGGCCCAAGTAAAGAATAGTGAGGCAGAAATACCACAAGGACAGGAGGCCCAAGAAAAGAAGAATGAGGCCAAAATACCACAAGGACAGGACGCCCAAGTAAAGAAGAGTGAAACCAAAACAGCAAAAGGACAGGAGGCCCAAGACAAGAAGAGTGAGGCCAAGATACAAAAAGGACAGGACGCCCAAGTAAAGAAGAGTGAGGCCAGGATATCAACAGGACAGGGGTCCCAAGTAAAGAGGAGTGAGGCTGGGATACCAAAAGGACAGGGGTCCCAAGTAAAGAAGAGTGAGGCCAGGATACCACAAGGACAAGAGGCCCAAGTAAAGAAGAGTGAGGCTGGGATACCACAAGGACAGGAGACCCAAGTAAAGAAGAGTGAGGCTGGGATACTAAAAAGACAGGGGTCGCAAGTAAAGGGGAGTGAGGCTGGGATACCACAAGGACAGGAGGACCAAGTAAAGAAGAGTGAGGCCAGGATACCGCAAGGACAGGAGGCCCAAGTAAAGAAGAGTGAGGCAAGCATACCACAAGGACAAGGGTCCCAAGTAAAGAAGAGTGAGGCTGGGATACCACAAAGACAGGAGGCCCAAGTAAAGAAGAGTGAGGCCAGCATACCACAAGGACAGGAGGCCCAAGTAAAGAAGAGTGAGGCTGGGATACCACAAGGACAGGAGGCCCAAGTAAAGAAGAGTGAGGACAAAATACCACAAGGACAGGGGTCCCAAGTAAAGAAGAGTGAGGCCAGGATACCACAAGGACAAGAGGCCCAAGTAAAGAAGAGTGGGGCTGGGATATTAAAAGGACAGGAGGCCCAAGAAAAGAAGAGTAAGGCCAGGATACCAAAAGGACAGGGGTCCCAAGTAAAGAAGAGTGAGGCCAGGATACCACAAGGACAGGAGGCCCAAGCAAAGAAGAGTGAGGCTGGGATACTAAAAGGACAGGAGGCCCAAGTAAAGAAGAGTGAGGCCAGGATACTACAAGGACAGGAGGCCCAAGTAAAGAAGAGTGAGGCCGGGATACCACAAGGACAGGAGACCCAAGTAAAGAAGATTGAGGCCAGGATACCACAAGGACAGG